CAGGTGGACAGGAATGTTGTTCACACTCAGACCCCTTTAATGGCATACAGTAGCCATTCAACCACTGAAGGACATTTTGCTCTTTCCCTCTCAGGATTTTCACTGAGCTTGATGCCTGCTTTAACTGTTCTGTCATCCAATTAATTTACCTGTCTCAGGAGCAAGTAGCCTTCAAGCCTTCATTGATGAGTCTGTTTGATTTTCATTACATTTCCACATTTCATAATTTAGCAGTTTTTGAAGTGTAGTTTTTACACTTTGATGTGTTAGAGACATGCTTCGTAATGTAGTGAGATGTTTTTCACTGTCCATACAGAATTGGAACACGCATTTGTTGATAGACAACACCAGGCTGGGAGAACAACAAAAAATTAGCATACACAGCAAAAGACCTTTTGTCCCTAGCTTTCATTTGCCTGAATATAAATGTGATAGAGGCTTCTGCTTGAGCAAACAAATCATTTTATAATAATTTGCAAGCAAATTATTTCATGATCATGTGAAGAATTACATCTGTAGACAAAGGTTTGTATACTACACTTTTTACTTTTTACTGCATGTTTATATACTTTTTATATAATATTATCATTCAGATGCTAGAGTTACATGGATCTTGAATATGAAAAGAGTAATATTAGAATTTAGCAATATTGGTTTTTCACTTTACTAGGGATTACTGTGTAGAATAATAGGATTCTATTCAGTGCTCATAATAATTGTAAAGATTTTTATTTTCCCAAATTTCACACTGGCCCTGGTCAAAGATCTGGTAGATGAGCAAATTCAAAACTTGACACAACTTCTCACTGGTTAGATATAAGGAGTGATGAATTTATGTACTTCGGGAATCTGCTGGGACAGAGAGGCCATTTAATTAGTGACAGAAACATGAAAAAGGGCTTATACGGCCAGTTAACTCTGAACAGGTTAAGGCACCACAGCAGTGACAGTACTTATAGTGAGCAACATTAAAACTGTCTCTGTTTAAGTAACTTTTGTTTAAGTTAACCCCAAATGTGATAGTATCCTTTGCACATAATGGTATAATTTTTAAACAAATGTGATCCTGTACAGCAATTCTCAGTGGAAAGCTGCTACTGTTTGAAAACTTGACTTTATTCTGTAGCTATCATATTCATATTATTTGCTATTAACCTGTACTACATAAGAACCTTACTGCTACATTGCTTTACTATAGTATTTGATGACAATGGAACATTTTTAAATGAAATATGCTATGTCACAAAAAGGCATTTTAAAACATTCAGTGAGAATTTGTTTCATTTTATTTTGTTATTTCCTTAAACATTCAAGCTATCATCTAACAATAGATAGGAAAATACCTGTAAGTTTGCATTGAGGTACTCTGTGTGTCAGGTGTCTCATTGGTTAAGTAATACGTTTTAAGTACAATCTTTCTAATCTACATCTATCATGTCTTTGTATCATGGCATTTCAAGTTCAAATGGAAACAGTACCTCTGCTCTAGAGCTGTCTTGGGTTTCATGGTTTTATATACATTTAAGAGTCTCTTTACTTTCTGTAGTTTGAAATCTGTTGCTTATAGCTGCCTTTTTCTTTATTCATGGAACATCACAGTAAATTTAAAATTTGTTTTGTTGTGGTTATGTACTGGGTGAGCCAGCTAAAAGTAAACACTAGATGATAAGTTATCATCAGCAGTAGACATGAATAACACGTGTGAGGTCGGTACGTACAGTAAATAACCTGTGATTAGCTGGGTAGATGTTGGTAGTATTTTCAATGTTGTTGTTACCTCCATCTTGGGAGGTGAGCAAGACAGGAGTTTATTTGAATTTGAATCGTGGATCTCATGGTATCTTAAGGTTGATTTGCATTCCAGTTCCTATTATGGATGGAGCAGCAGTACTGATAGGCTGAGTGCAGGGAGAAAAGATCTTTATCTGAAGAACTGGTGATAGTACCTTCATCAATATTTCTGTAGAGCTTTTAATTGTTGTTTGTTTCAAAGCGGGGCTACTTTAATCTGATTCACATTCAATCAAAAGGTACTTTCCAAACCTTCCTGCTTCGGTTCCCTTTTCTTAAGAAAAAAATTGGCTTAAACTGATGGTATGGGTAAGACCTGGAGCCGTTTAGCCAAATACTAACCGCAACTAGAGAAATTCAAAACAGGCTGGACAGCCCACAACAGAATGTCTGAACATGTCAAATAATTATGTGGGAACTTGAGGAATAATTCCTACCGTGTGCATTTCTGAGTGGAGTAACAACTTTTCTTTCCTTTGAAGCATTCTGTGTTTGTACAGATTAAGTTATCGATCTGGTCACGTTTCAGCTGTGTGAAATAAATTAAGACCAATGATTTCAATGCATGCACTTCCACCACGGTCCATCTGGAGATTATTGCTGTACATTTGCTTTCTGCTTGCAGTAATATAAAGTTCGGTGTGCTAAAGTTACATCTGCAGTACATATTCATCCGTAGAAACTCGACAAAATTCATGATGAAAGCAGAAACATCCTCTTATATTTCCTGATTATGTCAAGCACAACAATGAGATCTGATAAAGGGAAATATAACACTGTAGGGTGGCATGGTGGTGCAGTGAATAGCATTGCTAGCTTGCAGCACTGGAGCCCTGGGTTCAATTGTGGACCTGGTGTGGTAGCTGTGTGGATGTTTGTATCTACTCCCTTTGTTTCCTCCAGCCATTTGGGTTTTTCCCACAGTACACAGTACAAAGCCAGGTTAATTGGCTTCTGGGAAAACTGACCCTGGTGTGAGTGCGTGTGTGTGCCCTGGAGTGAACTAGTGTCCCGTCCAGGGTGGAATCGTATGGCACCCGTTACTTGCTGAAATCCCCCATCACCCTAAAATTGATGAAGAGGTTAGGAAATGGATGAATGGATAACTGAATGTATTCTATTAGCTACTCTCAATCCACAGTAATTTTGTTGTATATATAGTGCAGCCTTTTCACTGGCTTTAAAGCACTTTGATTAACTAAGCTATTCTAAACAATACACTCCGGAATTGTTTCTAATCATGCAGCTGGTAATTGGGGATAGTATTCTGTAAACATGAAGAATCTCTGGTTCCATCTCTTCTTCTTGTGGTATGATTCATGGGGGATCACGAATTTAAAGAGGGCTTATATTTCTTGCAAAATGCCCTATCACCTTTCACAATCATTGTGCACATAGAGTCAGATTTATGAAGACAATAAATACATCGAGGAGGGGGATAATTTCAAATCCCTGAGCTGTAGGGGTCACCTAACATGGAATAATATGTTAACATGCTGAAAGCCCTTTGTGTATAGTTGTATAAACAATGAAGCTTGTATCTTGGGTTACAGATGCTGCCCTGTTAAACAAAAGGCTAAGGACATTATCCCAAAGTAATACCTCTCAGAAATTGCATTTTTCCTTATTTGTTAATACCAATCTCAAGTTGAAACACTGAGGTCGTGGCTGGCTAGTTGCACTGGGCTTAAGGGCTACTATTGTCCAAACAAGTGGTTCAGTTTATTGGGAAAATGTGTGTTGCCTGTAGGAAGAAAAGGAAATTGGTAGCTCTGGAGGCGAATTCTTATTTCATATCTGGCTGCCACACCCCCTACCATCTTTAACTGATTGTTATTCCTTAAAATGGAAAATACTTGCAAAGTATTCAGGTTACTTCCTGCAAGTGTCATCTGAGGAATACAAAAGCTTCCCCGTACAGCCCTAGGCCAAGAAAGCATTTTATTTTAATATAAATATTTAATAACTTAGAATACTTAAAAAAAAAACTTTTGTTTTGGCTCTCTCAGCAGAAAACTTAAACAACATAGCTATAGTAGCAGGTGGAGGCTCTTTGAAATGGCACATTGCTGAGATGTTTCACTCGAGAGCTGTTGCTTCTCATTACTTTCTACAGGGCTTGCCCATTGAGGGTTTAAATGCCTGATGCACAGAATATGAAAGGCTAGCCTCCTGAAACTGTACCCTGAACCTCTAGGTGAAGTCTGGTCAGTATGACTCCTCTAATCCGTTCCACCGAATAATCTTTTCTGGAAGAGTGGCAGTCAAGTGAGGCCGAAGCCCTGCAATGTTCTGCAAAAACCAAGATGTGGATTCCCTTTTAGAAAGGGATCTCTGATTCACTCTATCCTCATCAAAGTCTGGTAAAAAATGCAGATTCCTTTATTTTTACCTAACACATACACTAAATGAAATCTTGTCACTTTTCTTCAGTTCCTTTGCAATTCGTTCAGCTTATTTAAAGAAAGATCTATTACAATGCAGCATAAAACCAGACTTAAGTTCCCTCCTTTTTTAAAGCTGTTTTGAAAGCTTTGCAAATCTTGACAGCAGGAAGTGACTATATTGCTGACAGGTAAATTAAATTATTTTGAAATATTATTTCTGCTTTGTAAATGAGCCAAAACATTACATCAGAATATTCTGAGACTTGTTTGGAGATTTCATTACAGCAGCTGCCAGAAACCTTTCACTTGACTAACTTCCTGTTGTTAGGTCTCAACACATTGATGTTGGTTACTATGACAACCCTGTTTAGACCTTAGACATCACAGGCATTAATCACAGAACCTTTGTCAGTTCTAATCCTTTTTATAGGAAGCCTTATTTTATTAGTAAATCATAATAATTAATGGAAATATTAATTATGGAGATATTCAAATTATTGGACTGTACTGTATGTTTAGTGTTTGATTTACAGTTAGTTTTGTAGCTTGAACAAAATGAAAAATAATATAAAATAATTAAAAATAATATGTAGGCATGTTAAAAAATTAAAAAGACCACCCTTGAAGTTATAATCTCTTTCAAAAAATGACTTGACCAATAAAACTGCATCAGGGCCTCCTTAAACTCTGCTATTTGATGCATTTAGACATTTTAAGGTCACCAGTTGCTTGCTAAATTGCACACAGTTTAAAATTGTTTACACTGGAGTGAGGTCTGTTTTCGTGGTGTGATTCATTTAAATGATTTTCATTGTAATGCAGGGTGTAGCAGTGAGGAATTGAGGGAGGTGATGGGTTCCAGGCCCGCTCTGTGGTTTGAGACCTGCTTTGGGCCTCATTGTACAATCAGCGGATAGCTGTCTCCATTCCCACCGCTGAGGTAATCAGTTATCATTTAGCACTCATTCGTGCCGAGTGCTAATTGGATTTCAAGGAGGGTCATTGCTTCAGTGCATCTGCTCAGCTGAGTAACCACCCGTGGGTAAGTGAATTATCATTTTTGAACCCCCCCACCATTCCCCTCCTCCTTGTCCGGCGCAAGAGCAGATTTAATTGAGTGATAGGAGTCTGGCTGCTGGCAGGGATGTTATTAGCAGATGTTCGAAAGAGGCGAGATGACTGTTCAGCCCCTGCACATGCCATTGTAATGCAAGAAGCAGGGAGGCTGTGCGGGCTGAGCAGGGATGGGAGAAGAGGAGCAGCAGCTGGGCTTTGTGTGCAGTTGGGTGGGGGGCTAAGTGCAGGTGGAGCTGTTTACACAGTCCCAACCAGGGCGGACAGCAATGTGAGGGGAGACTGGAGAGTTAAGAGCGCCCCCGATCTGTACTCTTGACACATTTCCTTTATTGTCTCCTGCCGTTTCTTTCTCGCACATTTAGGGCTTTTCCTGTTTTGTGATTAAGTGTTGTAGGGGTTGTTTATTTACACTGTCCAGCTGTTTCTCTGATGGCCTGTGAGGTCTTCCTGGTGGCTAGCCATACTAGTTTTGTATGCACAGTATTGTCAAGCTGGCAGTACTGGTGAAGGATATTTTAGACTGCAAAGTTCAGTCTTTCGATAACACATATCTAATGTCAAGCTTTTATTGCCTAAACTCATTAAGCAAATTACAGCAAAGGCACACTTATCTTAATTGCTACTTTCGAAAAATAAGTAGGTGATAGGAGTATTCAACACTTGGTGATTCAGACAGATTGTTCCAAGATGCATTTTTTAAAAATGATTGTTTTTTGCTGATGGGTGTTTTTTTTAAATAAGATTTTTAAGACCCCCAAAAAGGCATATAATGAGAGTTTTCAATGTACAGTTTTGGCAAATCGGTCTGTCATGGGCAAATAAAGTTGCCACTGTGAATTCACATTTTCTGCTAAAAGTACTACCCTAAAAGCATTCTCAATAAGAATGAAACACAACATTTTGTGCAAAACGTTTTGTTTCTTTTCTTCTCTTTTCACCATGGAATAAACCTTTGCAGCCTATGCATGCAGATACAGCGACCTACTTGATCTTCTGATTCAAAATTATATAAACGGAATTGCTTATTTTCAGCTCCTGTATATAAATCTGAATGAAAACTAGTATTTGTTTTTAAAGTACGTGGTGGCATTTTTTTTTTCTGGGGTAGAGTGGTTTAATACAGGCCTGGGTTTATTTGAACTGCCGAGCACACTTGAAGGTTGGCCGACGGTTGATTTAAATTAGAGCTGCCCTGGAATTCAGACGGTTTGTGTTTTCTCTACGGGTGGGATGCTCCACCCAGGCAGAAAGTTCCCTCTAATGTGACTTCATCTGGAAAGGGCAAAGCTCCATCCATCTGCAATCAGCGATAATTTAGCAGCCCCTCTTCATGCAGTCAAGATCAAGCTTCATTTTGTTTTTTTTTCTATGGTCTCTCTCCAGGCTAGGGAGAGAATCAGAGTTTCCAGTGTCTTTGGATGGATATCAAAACCCACAGCTCTGTAACAAAATGTGGCCTACAGCACACAACTGAAATGCATTTAAAGATTATAGTAACTGTTACTTCATCTGTTTTAAAATAGGTGTCTTGGACGTGAAAGTTTTTGTTCTCTTAGTTTCTGTGAAAGTGTCACCCTTGGTCATTCGTAAATGGTTTTCATGCTTTCAGCACAACTAATGTTCTGTGGAAGGAACCGGTCGAGATTGTACACCCCAGTCAATCTGTATACAGTCCACAGCTCAGAACAGCAAAGTGCAAAGTGAATATGCGCAAATTTGATTTAAAAACACATTAGAGATGAGATGAGACCTAGACACTTGTATGAACTGTGAGATTACTAATATTACAGAAACAGAATTAATCAAAGCTGAAGAAGAGGGCTGCATTGTGGATTAAGTAAAACAAGGTTGATTGACAAGGAGGAGTACTGCACTTAACAAAAACTAAAACTTGCACAGCTAGTGATGGGAGAGCCACCAGACCCTTGTGAGCACATATGGGTTAAACCGAAGGGAAAATTTGATAAGAGCTCTTAAAGAGATCAGTGAGGTCATTTCCAAACCACTAACACAATGTTTTTGCCAGTCATTAAAAGCTGGGGAAATTCCAATGCTGCCGACATGTAATGCCAATATACAAAAGACAGAATCTGCTGACCCAGGTTACCTAAAACCTGTCATCCTAACATGCATACAATGTAGATATCAGAAGCCATCATTAAGGAAAACATTTAATCATGTTTCTGCAGTAATGCTATTATTGAGGACATCGACATAAGTTCCATAGAGGACGATTTTGTTTTTTCCAAGAAGTCATAAACAATGCTAATACTTGCAGTGCTTACAACATTGCATATCTGGATTTTCAGAAAGGTTCCCCATGAGTGAGTTCCTCATTTATTTATTTGAAATGTGCTTCTATATAAGACACAGAGGGTAATAGTAGGACAGAAAATGTGCTGTGTGGTGTGTGACCTAGATATTCACAATGGCGGGACTGCTGTTTTTCTTGTACTGTATGTATGGATGATATAGGTCAAGGTAGTAGCAGCACATTTGTCTAATTTCTAATGATACAAGTCTGGAGGAACTGTATTTTGGCCGACTACCAAAATACAATTAGGGCAATACAGGAAGAACTAAATAGAATCCAGAAATGCTAAATGAAAGTTCACTCTTTGGAAATCTGAAGCTTTGCATTAAAATCGGGAAACTAGTGCATAGTGAATAGGTGCAACAGTAGAAACCAGGGGGCAAAAATTATGGTTTGTAAGAAAATCATTGCCGTTAGCATGTAGGAAATGTAAAAAAGAAGGTTTCATGATCCGAAGATGGCAACATACTGTATCTGGAAGTTGTTTAAAATAACTAATTTTGCATATTCAGTGTCAATATTATAAAATGTATTTTTTACAGAGAGTTTCAATTAGCTGGACATATAGCCGAGTCAGAGGTGCTGGGATTTTTCAAGTCTAGGCTAGATGATATGATAAATTCAATCAGTATATTTGAGTTTGAGAGCTCAAAATATTTCAGCACTGGTAGAAGAGTTACTCTCACTATTCAAAACATTCAGAGTAAAAGGATTCAAAACTCAGATATGACTATCAGATTTCCAGTGCCTGATTCTTCAATCCATCTACCCATTTTCTGTCTATCCAGTACAGGGTCGCCGTGGGAGTCAGAGCCTTTCCTGGTAAGCAGTGAGTGCAAAGCAGGATACTCCCCGGACATGATGCCAGTCCATCATAGGGCAGACGCAGACACAAAACACGCACACATTCACACCAGGGCCACGTTTCCCAGAGGCCACTACAAGAAACCTACCAGTATATCTTTGGACTGTGGGAGGACACCCGAGCTCCCAGAGCAAATGCCAACATGGGGAGAACATACAAACTGCACACAGACAGCACCCCATGGAAATGTGCTTTGAGGCAGCAATGCTAACCACTGCGCCACCGTGCCACCTGTGCAAGATTCACTTTGCTGAAAGATTTGCACTGCATGCTGCCATTATCAAAAACAAAGTTTAAAAGTAATGTCAAAACAGACAAAAGACAAGACAGCTGTTCCCTAGAGGAGGTGAAAGTAGCACTGTGATCTGTTTAAGCTACTGTTGCCACTCTTTCACATTTGCCATTTCTGAACTTGGACCAGTTTTTCCAGCTGCTTTATGTGGGTTCCGTTCTCTTACTCTCTCACTCTAAAGCATTTCCTTAGCTGCAGTGTGCAAATGTGGCAATTGCTTGGACTGGTAATGCAGAAGCTTGTAAATCTTTCTGGATTCGTGCATCATTTTTCCAACAGTGTTCTGCCCTTTAAGGTGCTAAAGTAAGTGGGGAAAAATGAAAGTGAAACGAAAAGTGGTACCCGACAGCTGACAAACAACTGCACACTAAAGTAAGAAGATAGTGCTGCTTTTATTCATTGTGATAGCAATACTTCCAATTAATCCGAAACATTAAATAAACACCAGGACCACAAGAATGCAGGTCAGAATGTACATTTAAAATGAACACATAAAAGTTGTATCTTATTGCATATTATAATTTGTGTTCTTCTGGGGTTTCTTGGAAGCTTCTCCTTGCTACATCCTAAGGCAAGAATGCACAACTCAGGTTCTCCAGCACCAGAGACCAGCAGACTTCCTGACTGCTTTTCCATCAGTACAGAGACATTAGTAAGGTTTCAGAAACGGGTGATTTCAGTTCTTATCCAATTTAACTTGACGCTGTGTTTTTTTTTGTAATTTGTAGCGAATAAATTATTTGTTTCAAAGGATTGATTCTGAACACAAATTTTATTCACGTTGATGATAATAAATATATCGTCAACAATTTTTCCTATACTAGAACTTGGACATAATTCCTTATTCTCAGTAACTACAGTATGAACTTATTATTGGGAATGATGTGTACCATGATGATGTATGTAATTGCACCA